CATGGCAAGGGCGCATAGTGCCGGCCGGCACACTTGCCCCACATGTGGGAAGAGCTTTGGCAGAGAAAGTAACCTGAAGGCTCATCAACAGAGCCATGGAAAAGAAGAGAAGCCAGTTGGAAAGAGATAATTCAGTTTGGGAGAATTTTAAGGGGGTATGCTAACAGAAGACGAATTCAATTTTTTTAAGTTTTGTGTATAGAAATGTAGGTGGGGACAGGGTTCACTTTAGATTTTAAGTTGTAACATAGCAGGGGATCGTTCAGCTGTGTGGCCCTCGAGATCAACACTATTGGCGCTTTTCCACTGCGTGGTACGGTTCGGCTCGGCACAGTTTGCGTTTCCACTGCAGTTCAGTACCGCTTTAGAGTGGGCGGGATTATTCACATGTGGTTATAGTTGCGCCGCCTGTACTACCACGACTCCTAAAAAAAACTTTTTCATTCTGCGTCGCCCCATCAAGCTCTTGCTGGATCCGCTCCTCTGCTATCAACGAGAGGAACGGCTGTTCTTCTACAACAGACAACAAAACGTTTTGGTTGTTAAAAAAAGGTGCGCTCGTTCAAAACAGTTGCGTTCGATCCTTCGCTGGCTGTGCCGATTTAAATCTAGTGGTTCTGTTGTGTTTGTGTCGTAAGTTCAGTGACGCAGGTAGTGACGATTCTCTTCGGGCAATCCGTGATCAGCAGAGTTTACACGTCACGTTTTGGTAACGGTACGTTTCACTTGGAACCCCAACCGAGGTGGTACTAAAAAAAGTACCAGGTACCAGGTACTGTACCCAGTGGAAACCCCCCCCAAAAAGTGAACCGTATGGAGCCCCGTACCATGCAGTGGAAAAGCGCCGTATGTGAACACGTTATTTGAAAACTGGAAACCCAAAGGGTAGGGAGTTCACGGTAAACAATGGTAACCATGTTTGGGTGCCTCATTGTATCTCTTAACATCTGTACATAGTTTTGGCATGGAAAGTAACAGGATTCATACCATGACTGGATTCTCATTTGTAGGGTAACCATGTTGTAACTAATACCATCAAGAAAAACCCACAGAAAAGCCTTATTATATTGTCTAAGGCTTCACATTGTTGTTGTTGTTGTTTTTTTCTTTTTTGGGAAATTTTCAATTCTTTTCTATGAATCTAATGTGTTATTGTTTTTACATGATTTTTAAAAGTGTGTACAATGGTGAGTGGAAATATTTACTAAATGATTGTTTTCTTCCGAGATCGGGCTAAATTTGATTTAAAATGTTTCAGTTTTTTTACCGGTATGACTTGACATTAGACTTGAACTTAAATGTTACACACAACTAAGGCAGTTCTCTGATTGAAGTAAATGTCTGAATAATTAATTGAAAATATTTTAAATGTTTTCCGATGTATTTATTTTTCTGTGTTGATATTCTAATTTATGGTATATCCATAAAGAATTTCCATGATGATGAATTAATGAGATTGGAGAGGAGGTACTTAAAAATCATTGAAGTTTTTCAATTTAAGACTACAGTCAAGTGTGACTTCTCTAACTATCGCTATCACAGATTAAAGTTTCTTCAATTTTGCCATACTTTGGGGTTACGATAACATTTCATTTCTGCCTAATTGTGAAGCATTTATTGAAAAATCCTTTTAAATGGTATTTACATAATTGCTCTTAACAAAGATCAACTTGAACATCTGTTTCACAAGTTATCTATAATCTCTAAATTGTTCATGAAGATTGAGGAAAGTGGATATAGCTAAGTGCAATGGTCAGACTCCACTTTTCCTTTTCATTACCTTTTCAGTTAGCCTTTGTTTAGAAAGCTCAGCATACACAGAGCAGAGTTAGAGTGGAACTAAGTGGTTATTGAAAGCTTGTTTGATTAACTAGAACGTGAGCTCAGGACGGTGCGTGCGAAACATTTGTGAATCTTTTGTTTCGAATCTGTTTCGGAGCGCGTATCAAACCGGTCAGGTCACGTGATTTTAGCAAACGAAGCTTCGTTACGTCACACTGTTTCGGAACTCCGATGGTTCAGCGCTGGGGGGGGGGGGGGGGGGGCTGATCTCAAAGTGAACCCATGAACCACTTCTGGTTGCCCAGTTAATCATATGACATGAAATCCCACGACATTTTACTATAAAAAATAAAGAATTCAGGGCCAGATGTTGTGGATTAAACAAAGAATGACTTCCCTTTAACACAGATGGCTATATAGTTTAAAAAATGTGTGAAAACATTCAGTACTTTCAACCTACAAATCACATCATACCGTAACAAAATGAACTTGCGATAGAATTAAATCCACCTCCTGACTGATAACACTACTCTTGCCTGCTGGTTTTTATAGACAGCTCTAATGAAAACCCTTCATTAAATAATTACATAAATCAATTCGTTAAATAATTTAGTTAATTGTTTATTTTCTTTATTTATTTAGTCATTTATCAAATGAGGACAACAGAAGCAATCAATTGTAGTATTAAAACAACTAAAAACAGATCCAAAACTAAAAGCTAAAACTTTATAAATACTACCTATACACATTTTTAAAATAAAGAGATTAAATAAAAATGACAAATGCATACAACAACATTTCAAAACTTAACATTCAAATGAAAAACTAAAAATAAAGCTAAAAACAATTCAAAATATTAAAGAACAAAAGGTGTAAGAGTATAATAATGATTCTAACATAACACTAAGCCAAACACCAAAAAAACAACTACATGTATGTGTACAACCCCACACACATACATATATACTGTCTATGTACATACACATTTATAAATGCAATATATATATTATTTCATTTCCATTTAGTTTGTTGAGGTATTAAAATAACTCAAATTAAATAAAACTAAAAACTTAATAAAATACCTATACAGACATAATAAATTCAGACATAATT